AACCATAGGAATTGTTGAAGGAAGGTCATATTGTTAGGCTTCCTTGACACATGTTGTATTGATTAGATAACTTGGTTTATATGGATTTACTACCAAGACGACTAATGTGGTTGAACTTTTGTGGTTCAGGAAGGTTTTGCATATTGTGAAACCAACGGGCACTAAATTATATATAGCATGAAACTTGCTATACTACCTTATGATATAGGCATAAGAATGTTGAGAATATATATATATATATGTTATATGTGCAATAATTGAGTAGAAGCTGCTACAATCCCCCGTTTCTTTTAGCTGCTTGGATATTCAGATATACAGGTGCAAGCTATCTCACGGATCTAGATGATACGAACTCTACATCTGGATATGTGTACATGCTTGGAGGGGGTACAATTTATTGGAAATTAAAGAAACAGGATGCGGTGGAATTGTTTATCATGGAGGCAGAGTACGTGACGTGCTGTTTGGCGGCCAAGGAGGCCGTAGTTTTTTAATCAACTTGACCTTCACCCTGTGAATTGTGAGGCAGTAATGATTTTTTGGGACAACACGACGGTGATATGGGTGTCAAAAGAGCCACGATTCCATAAGAGCTCCAAGCACATAAAACTATGTTTCTATCACCTGAGGAATAAGGTGAGATTGAGAAAGATCGAGATCTAGATAAAGTAAATATTTCAGTGGGAGCACCTTCTAATATTTGGCAGGCCAGCTGAAACAACAGACTATAATGTAGTTCACCTATGGAACCCGTATGTGTGGCGCTAGTTGTATGGCTACAAAAAAGGAGCAGTTTGTTTGAAGAACTTATTTGAGCCCATGAACATATAACCCCATACAATGAAGGTACATGATGATCTTCTGAGACAATAGGTTCATGATTCACGATGCGATATAAAAGATGGACTACGACCACTTTTAGGATGAGACCCTAGCAGCAAAGAGAAAAAAAAAGCATTACCTCTATAAGTCTTTTTGTAAAAAGATTGGTGGCGAAAGCCATGACTAATTTATTGAGATAATAAGTGAAAAATGCTTGAGAGAGATATTGTAATTGGGAGAGAGAGATGGGGATGAGAGAAAGTGAGAAACAGAGAATGTAAGGTTTCAAAAGCCAAGTAGGAGATGTTGGGTTTATGTAGCCTTTAAAGGCCTTATGAGTGTTTGTAAAATGAAATAATATAGTGAAACATAAACTCTGTGGGAATGTGGTCCCTCGTGGATCATACCATGCAAATGATGTTTGCCAATACTGGATTGTGCTTGACGATCTAGGCCAGTCTGTTGGGAAAAACCCATGTTACCTGGGCATGAATAACAAATCGAAGAGGATTCATGGGTTAGCCCTTGATGAGGTCAGAGAACATGCCTGGATGAGTGAGCCGAGGGACTGTGTGACCTTTGTGTGTGATGCTGGCCTATAGAGACGGGAGGCAAAACCTTACCAATGTGCCATCACATGGCATGCATATCGATAGATCGTTTGGGAAAGCTAGAAATCCATCTTGTAGGGTGAAGCGTATGCATGTGCGAGAGATCCCTCTATGTGGCGTAGAGCTGTGGTTGCATCAGGTCTTGGTGACCTAGACTCGTCTCTAAGGGAGAACCTGTAATCCACAGACTAGGATTGCGACCCCTTGGCTCATTGGTCAGACTTTGGTAACCCACTAATGAGCCCTTGCTTGGACTGTGGGTCATGAAAAATACTTGGTCGGTCTGATAAAACAAGTGTGGTCCGTAGTCCACAATTTAAGGTGGAGTGCCCCATGATTGTTGATTTAATTCCCAAACTATATGGATACATTTGCCATCAAATTAATTTGATGATTATTTTAGATTATTTATGATAATGATTCTTTTAAATTATTTATGAAATGATTATTTTAAATTATTTAAATTATTTATGATAATCATTATTTATGATAATGATTATTTTAGAATTTTTATGATTCTTTGGATATTTTATTATAATTTTTGGATTTAAAAAATTATAGATATTGATACAATGTTTTAATGTTCACTATAAATTATTTTGTTAATTTTAAATGCATAAAAAAAATAATCATAGGGGCCTATTATGCACATGGGCCTAGCATGTTTCTAGAAGGTGGGGCCCACATGTGCCTCCCATGGGTGGCATGCCCCATCTCTTACTACTTTTTATTTTATAGAACATTTTGTTTTGTGGCTCATGTGACTTTATGTTTTGGAAACTTTAAATTGTGACATGTAGTCAAATTATGGATTGAGTATGTATTGACCATATATTGACTTAATATTGAAGTAGATATTGTCTTGATAAATCTTTGATAGATTTTATGGAAAATATGTGTAGAGATGTTCTATTTTATGGGATGCACAATATTGAATTAAAATTAATTTAACTTATTTTGTATTGATGGGAAAATGGTTTAGGAAAGGGGAATAAGAGTCCATGCACCTTCTATAATGTTGATGGCCCATCTATGGAATGGATGACTCAGATCTCTCACCCCACAAGTCACTCTTGATTGACGGTCCATGTTCAATCTCACAAGAAGAGACAAACCAAGGAAAACACTAAAAAACCCTAATCTTGTCCAAGCCTATAAAAAAGATATTGTCTCTACCAGAAATCGTTATACTTTATCTTTTTATCTCTCTCTCATGTTTGATCTCTCTCTCCTACATTGTGAAAATGGGCTAAAGTATTAGGCTATGAAGTTCTTCTTTCTCCCATCTCTCAACTATGGATATATGGCTAAGGGTTTTTAGCGTAGTAAAAAGACAATCAATCTCTCTCTAACTAGGTTGCTAAGGGAATTCACTTAGGGTTTGAGTTTGTAATCAAAGGTGTTCATATTTAATTGGTATGGTTTGGCCTAAATTTGCTTTCTCGATTTGAGATTGAAGCATGATCGTCGATCCCACGCCATCGGATGGTGGTGACTCGGTGTGGCGTGTAATAAGCCCAGTTGAGGGAATATCTGGCACTCTCTCTTTTATTTCTTGCAATCTTATTTTTTATTTTCAAGCATAGTACATAGTTATTTCAATGACATCAAGTTTAAAGTTCTTGGTTTTATTGCCATATTTATTTTATTTTGAAGTATTGTTGTTGTAATAAGACCACATGTCAGTGATCTTTTGCCAAAACAAAAGGGGTGACATAAAAAATGATATATATATATATATATATATATTATACTCGGGTAAAAGATCACATGGGTCTTTCTTTCAATTACATCAACTGTTTTTAAGAGTTTGAATTCTTTTTTCATAACCATAATGTTCAACCAAGATGAACAATGTAAAAGTTTTAGAACGCTTGAATTGTAATTTTGAATGAGATATAAATTAAGACTTTACTTATTTTAATAGGTCTACAGCCCTATCATACCATTTTCCATGGCTAATATCTTGTTCTTAAGGCGGAAGTATACAGCGACATGGGTGAAGCTGTGTAATTCAAGGCCATGGCCCATACATAATATAAATATATAATGGAACAGAGTATATGGAATGGAACCCGAATGATTACGCCACGGGAGCATGAGGAAGATAACGCGCAGATTTGGTGCGGCAATGGAGAATCCCAGCGAGAACAACAACCACTACACCAAAGCGAATACAATATTTGCATTTAACAGTCCCCTGCTCTAAATTTGCGACCGCCCCTTCTTCCAACTCTTTTGACTGCACAATGTACACGAAGAGAGAGAGAAAATAAACACTCTCTCTCCTCTATCCAATATCTTTTTTTTCCAAGTTCCTGTGAAATCACGGACGGAATCCATAGGCCTTAACGTCCGTGAACTGGGCTTTTCAGAGCAGAGGGCTAGGGCCGGTAACAAGCTGGGATTTTTCCGGGTCAGCCCCGGCCCTGGCGTGGCCCTTGTTCCTTGAGCGGCAGCCTAGGTTCTGGCACTATTAGGGGTGTGCCTTGCTAAAATTAAAAACAAACAAATAAAAAAAGGGATGATTTATGAAGAGATAATTTATCTTTTATACATGAAAGTCATAATCACTTTTTTTAAAAAAATTCAAAGTGGGTGTTTGTAAAATTGAATAAATAGGCAAAGTTAAAAAAAACAAAAGAAAAGAATATTTTCAAACATTACGACTCACCCCAAACCATCTAATTTGACATGTAACAAGCCTAAAAGATTGTGACTTCTATGTATAAAAGATAATGGAAAGCTTTCTATATTTCCCCTACAACATAAAAGTTTTATCCTCCCCCTATCATTCAGCCGTTCATTTTTTATCAAGATAGCCACTCACCGTTTGATCTTAGATCCGATGTCTCAAAGTATTTTATTTTTAGTTTTTTTAATACAAATTTTTTAAATATGAAAATTGATACGTGCCATCTTCTCATTGCAGCGTACCTATAAAAAAAGATTAGCAATAATTTTTCGATAAAAAATAATAACCAAAATACCATTTAAAATTTTCAGAGGTATTTTAAGCATTTTATTTTATTGAGAATATTTTTTTTATATTTTTTGTTAGTATGAGTTTAATAGAGGAATCGACGTTCAAAATTTGGTGTCAAAATAATTTATAAAATAAAATTAAAAAATTAATAATACAGAGACGTGATATTATGATTAAGGCAATCTTACCCCTCCATTAAAAAATTGAGGGTTGAATAAAAGGGAGGATAGAACTTCTAAATGGCAAAAAGAACATAAAAAAAGCTTTCCCAAAATATAAATGTACTGTTCGCATAAAAGCCCATAAAAAAATTAAAGACAGGTCTCTCCGCCTAAGTTCCCAAATACTGAGGCCACATTTTGTACCCTAAGGCCTAGGCCGGCCTGGCCACCCAGTCCATTGCCATACTACTCAGGGCGTGAGTTTCGTGCAGTTCCACGCACTTGGATAGCTTCTAGAGAGAGGAGAGAGGAGAGAGAGGGAGGAATGATAAAAGGAGAAAAAGAAAAAAAAAAGAAAGTAAAAGACTCACGGAAGGCAGGCGTCCATGGGCCCAGTAGGCTCTACCACCCAAAAGATTCTTAAGCAGACTCTGAAGAAGGAAGGCCCCTCCTTTAAAAACCCAACTTCTCTCCATTCCAACTTCCACTACGCCTGCCCCTCTCTCTCTCTCCTTTAAAAACCAATTTCCAGGCATTTCCACTACCCCTCTCTCTCTTAAACAACCAATTTACCAGCACCTTCTCTCTCTACAAAACAATGCATTAAAAAAGAACTCAAAGATGGAATAGTGGGATCCGTACTGTTTCAGGCACAGTTCCAGCCTTCAAAGACTCCCCCCATTTATTCTCTGGGTATATATCTCATCTTTTGCAGGTTAAAAGATATGCTCTCGCTTTGGGATATGAAATCCCCTCTTTCTCTCTCTTCTTTCTCTCTCTTAGTTACCCAGATCGATCAGTCAGTCACTCACCACATTCCTTCCCTTCTCCCAACGTATCTCGTCTTACCCAAGAGAGAGAACTGAAGATTGCATCAAAGGAAGAGAGATGTAGAGAGACAGCACGGCCTAAAATTTTGAGCCCAGGGCTCGAACCAGCACGGCCTAGGTCCATGCAAACTCCGCTGCATGGCTTTGGACTTCGAGAAGAGGGGGCACGCCATTCTGTCAATTGGGTGCTTGGAGCGACCGTTGGTTGTTAAAGTTTGCTCAGGGGAGGATGGATAGATATTAAGTAACAGTAGAGAGAGAAAGATAAAGCAAGTTAGTGAGAGAGAGAGAGAGAAAGCATGCATTTAAGGACGTGTTATTATCAATCAGAGCACATGGACTGCTGATAAATCAATCAAGACTACGGTTGAGGTGGATTTCCCAATGATAAATCTACGGCTCGGAAGAAGCAGGGTGATGAGAGAGAAAGTGAGGAGAGAGAGAGACAAATAGATGTTAAGAATGTGAGATGCTTAAGAAAGTGGGTGAGAAAGACTGATAAAAAGGGTGTATCTCTGCAGACGGGCAGTGTGGATTTGTAGAGAGAGAAAGTGGTTAGAGAGAGAGACGTGCTGGTCCATAACGCACCAGACATGTAGTTAGGGACTCTGAAATCCAAGACAGTGGGTTTTGCTGATAATTTCCTATTTGAAATGTACGAGAGAGAAGGCTCTTCTGGTTCCATTTGCACACGCCATCTCTCTCTCCTCTAATCTCTCTCTAAAGCATATACAAAGAAAACAATAGAAATGGAGGATCAAAACACCATTGATCTCAATTCAAACCATTAAAACCCAACTAGTGTCTCTATTTACAAGGATCCCACAAACCCTAAGCTTCTGTTAACAAGATATTGAAGAAAAAAAAAAACCCTAAAAGTAAAGAAAAATTGGAAAAAAAGAACTCATACTGTGTCTTCTCTGATCGAACAACCACTGTAGAGTCCTCATTCTGGGGGAAACAATGAATTGAAGCCAAGCCAAAAAAAACCAGCTTCAGGTGTATATCCACCAAACTAAAACAAGGCAAAAAGAAAGGAACCAAAAAACCAAAACAGAATAGAAAATCTTAGAGAGAGAAAGAGGCACGAAGCACTAATGGAATCAGGTCCCAAATTCTGAGACATGCTGCTTAAAGTGAGGTGAAGGATGACTATTTCTCTCTCTTCTCTCTTGAAAACAACCGGGCTTCTATCTTTCTCTCTCATAAGAAGGAGGTAGAGGAAGGAGGATGGGGAGGACCATAACCTGAGAGATCTGGCCAACCTCCCGACACACTGCCGCCACCCCAGTAGCCGCCTCCGGCAGAGGCAGCATTCGAAGCAGCGCCAGCGCCTTCAAACAGACCCTCAGTAGGTGCCGCCGGCCATTCCGCTCTCCCACTGCTTGCCCCTTCAGTCTTCAAGACCACCAATGAAGGAACACCACTGCCAGCAATACCCACCCTCCCCCCTCTGCCTCCTCCCATCGCCGCCTCATCAAATGATGAACCGCTCATCGCTTGTTGTGGCGTGCCGAACCCACCGCTCGGCTCGCGTTGCTGAATCCTCCAAGGGTCCATGCCATTTGGCCCCATGCTGAACACTGGTAGCTGAAAACCCTGTCCTCCGCCAAGCTGAGGACCGCGGTGAGCGAAGAGAGGCCCCAAGTCACCTAAATTAATCGCATGACTCATTGACTGCAACGCAGTCAACTGTTGCGAAGGCCGCTCTCCGCTGAACCCACCGAACCCAACCTGATCCGAGCCATAGTAGACCGATACGGACCCAGCGGTTGATGCAACTGGGTCTACTGGTGCAGCCGGTGGACTTGAGACAGGCTCGGGATCATGGACCATGGAGGGGGAGGCGGTTAATGGCTCCGTGGCCCGTTTTGAGGAGGGCTTCTTTTTACGGCAGCCTCCACCAACCGGAACGTTGCGGAGCGTTCCGCCCCTGGTCCAGTATCGGCGGCACGTCTTGCAGAAGTAACGGGGCTGCGAGAGACTGTAGTTGTTGTAGTAGCAGAATTTTGTGTTGAGGGAGTCACAGCGAGGGCACTTCTGCGGTTGCTCGGCCTGTGGCTTCGCCCGCCGGTCTTGCAAGGCACGAGAAGAGCAGCCCAGCATATCGGCGCCACCCCCTCTTTCTCTCTCCTGCTGCATAATCTCTCTTGTTCTTACTCCCTGCAATAAAATAAAAATGGGTTGTCTAATAATGTGGTGCAACATAAACTAAAAAGTTCACTAAATAAAAAATCGGATCGATTTTCAGCAAACAATTCAAAGAGATTGTAACCAGAATTCACGAAAGATAAAAACTGAGACGATTACTTACAAGTGATAAAGAGAGCGGGAATAGCTCAGAGTTTTTGGTAATGGAGGAAGGGGAAAAGGGTGTGGATTTATAGAGAGAGAGAGGAATCTGGGGGTTTTAGCATGCAGCCGAAATTGTGGTTGCTTAGTTTGAAGTTTCTCTCTCTAGACTTAAGGGGGTGCTTCCTCAACGTGTCTGTCGGTACCCACGGGAATCTATGCGTTCATCATCGCCTGCTGCTGCATGTCAATTGCATCTCTCTTCCCCTTCCCTCTCTTTCTCTCTCTAAACGCACAGATCTGTTCGCTGCAAGGCCCCGAGAACTTAGAGAGAGAAAACCCATGTCGAGAATCTCCCCACCTGAACTCAGAGATACGAACCCATGAACCAGGAAAGAAGATTGTTAGAGAGAAACTGAAACCCCTGTTTTCTTCGCAGCGGCCGCCCTAACTTCCTGTTAAAGTTCAATCCAATATCAGAAGGGAAGATCACAGGCCTGCAACCCTAACTCTCAAACACACACTCTTACCAGCCCAGAAACACCTTCAATTCCTCTTTCTCATTCTACTACTTTTCTCTCTTCTTCTCTCTGTCTAGATGCTGAAACTTTAAAAAATTGGTGATGGGGTGGAAGAACAAGAGCCAGTGCCCAAAAGAGGAAGAGAAACCAGGCGCTGGGGTTTCTGGGTCTGGGTTTTTTTTGGGTAAGAATAATGGTAAAGACCTAGAGAGAGAAAGAGAGAGAGAGAGAGAGAGTGGCTCGGTGGGGTCGAGAATGTACAGTGGATGCTGCCTATTACTATACAATACGAAAGGGGCCCATACGCGAACCATCTGCCTTTCTTCATGGACCCAACCGGTCCGAGTCGAGCTGCGCTGGAACCACTGAGCTCGTCACGATTTGCCATCGAGCCCTTCAATGGGTTCCGTTTCATATTTTAGTATATATATATATATATATATATATATATATATTTTTATCCATTTCATTTTGGATGCCGGTTTTAATAAGGTTGTAACTTTAAACAAACCAATTAAGGCGTACCACAAAATTTTATTAGCACATGTAATTTTGGTGTAAAAAATTCTTAAGATTATTTAAAAATGTATGTTCATATCTAATTAAAAAATTTTAACCTTCAAAAATAGTTTAAAATCACATATATTTATAAACACGTAAAAATCTTGAAAGTGGACAATCTAGATAATATGTTGTAAAATGCATTATTTTTTAAACTCAAAATCTTTTTTTTTTCAAATTCATAGATTGCGATGTCGAGATGATCAATTAGAGGGTCTTTTAACATTAAAACGATCTTTTTTTATGGATTTTTCAAATATATATGTAATTTTACCTTTTAAGGTTGCAACCTTATATAAATTTTTTCTTTTTATTTTTTTAACACAGTTTTTATAGCATGAGGCTTGTCTAATTAGACCATTCAATTGACCCGTTTAAAGCCCATTAAAATGCCTCCTAGTCAATGTCCGGTTAACAGTGCGGGTTCGATTGTGCGTAAAGAGGGAAATGGCATGGTGCACGTGTAGAGAGAGATAGTGGCACGTAACGGCATGGGGAGATGTGTGACGTTTGCGTCCGTTGAGCCCCGCAACTGCTCACAGCCTGGACTCCAAAGACAAAAAAGACTACCATCTCTTTCTCTCTCTTCATTAAACAATTCATTCGTCGTTGTTAATTTCGTTAGATGGAGGCATCAATGGGGGAGTTTGTCAAATTAGGCAGTAATCAGATTTTAGGTAATTAAGTTGTGTTTTAATGAATAAGAATTTGAGTTGTATTTATAACAACAAAAACAAGAAAACTGAATAGTGTTGCTAAAAGGAATAACCGGAGTGAAAAATTTTCTGAAGCTATTACGCAAGAGGCACACCCATGATGCACAACCACAATTGGAGAAGTTACTTGATATAATACTAAAAAAATGAGGAACTTCATTTTGGTCTTCATTAAACCTCTTAATAACAATTTTAAGAGTTGATCTGCTGAAATTTTTGAAGACTTCAGAATTTTTATGTTTTTTTAGGGTCCATCTGAGGAGATATAGGCGAGATTTCATGATTTCAGGGCAAAATAAGGGAAAAAAAAAAATGAAAGAGAAAACTAAGAGCAGGTATACTCCGTTCCCTCAATAGCATAGTTATTTTTAGAGTGATTTACATACAGATTCTAAAATATTTTTTTAAAATACGAAATGTTTTATTTATCGGCAGAAATTACAAAGAAGGCCGTTCAACCGTTGTTTTTTTAATTTTTTCAAAACTACCTTTGGTCCATCCTCAATTTGAATTTGAATTTTTAATTTTTTATAGTTTTTTTATTAGTAGGGCAGTAACCCCAAGCTTTAGGGGAGTTCCCTACTAACGAAAAAAAAAAAAAAGATCCAAAATATCCTCGAAACGAGAGACAATTTTGAAAAAAATGGAAAAAATGGGTTGACCGACCTTTTTGTAATTTTCATCTATAAATGGAGCATTTTGTATTTTAAAAAAAATATACATAAATTTCTCTTATTTCTATTCCCTTAGAAGAACTACTTGGGAGGCACTTAAGAATTGCCAGATTATTATTCTAGAAAAAAAAATGGATATTTGAATTTTCTAACATATCTTACCATCCAAAAATTGGATGGTCTCTATCCAGAGGCATTATTTTTTCATATGCATAGAGGTTGTAATTGGGATATTTTTTCTACTGAGGTTAATTTATGGGTTGAAGAGGTTACATCCGGAAATATTAGGGTCCTAAAATCATTTCTAAGTAGGGTTTTACCCAAGGGAGTAAATGGATATTCTACTCGTGTGATAGTAGAATATTTTTGGGAAAAACTAAAGTAAAAACAAAACAATAAAAAATTCAGAATAATGATTTTTAACAACTTTATCATTAATTTCTGAAAAGAAGGTCCATTGCATAGGCTTCTCATTAATGGTTCACTTTTTTCTAGCCTTCTCTCTCTCCCTCTGCCTCTCTCCCGGTATCCTACGTAATCCTTTGACAAATTTTATGCTAAATTGCTTGGTAATGCATGTAATTGTTTCTCTCAAAATAGAAACTTTTAACCTATCAAATAGAGGAGGAAGGTGCAAAGTTTTATGAAAGATGCAGTTTGTACAAAAGCTTTATGTTCTATGAAAATAAAGGTAAGTTTCAACTCAAATCCTTTTTCAAAAAGTACTTTGGGTAGTGTAAATCTCCATTATAGCTTTAAAATTAATTTCTAACATCAACTATTGATGAAATTTGAAGCTCAAAAAATGGTCCAAACCTTGCAGATCCTTAAACATTTATTTTTAAAACAAAATAAACGATCTAGATAATGTATTGCAGTATATACTATTTTTATGACTTAAAATCTTAATTATTTTTCACAACTATGATCGTCAAGACTAAGATGACCCTTTTGAAGGTTTTTCAGACCCATACCCATAATTTCTATTGAGTTTTAAGGTGAAACTTTACTTAATTTAATAGGGCAGCAACCTTGTCAAAACATTTTCCCTTACTAAAAATGGACAAATACTTTTCCTTAAAATAAAAACCCTAAGATGTTCAACAGAGGCACAAGGGGTAAAATCTTATTCTTGTGACTATGTCAGTGTGGACCGTCCACCACACCCCACTTACCCCCAACCGCCTCCTAAAACCAAACACTAAATGCTAAAAGTCCTCCTTCCTTCCTCCACAACCCCACATGACCTTTGCTTCTTAATTATGGACGGACCAAAACTCATTAAACCTAGTTATTCATGGGTGAAAGTAGAGCCTACCTTCAAATAGTATCGAGAAATGTGGTTTTAATATGAAAATTGTTGTGATTACCTTAAAATATATTTTCATGTCTAATTATAAAATTTAAAGTTTAGATTGAGCAGATCTATAAAAACTTAAAAATCTTGAAAATTGGTGGTCAAAAACATGCATTACAAGATTTACTATTTCTTAAACTTGAAATCCATTTTTTTGTCATGTCCATGCATATTGATGTCGAGATGATCAATTTGAGAATATTTGAGCATCAAAACGACCTCTTCTAGTGAAAGTTTTGGAGTGCACTCTAATTTGATTGTGTAGAGCCTCGGCTCCATATAAACTTTTTCTCATGGCTCTTACTTCATACTATTAGTGTCTCACGTGTAACGTGGACCATATATTTAGCAAGCATGCAAATTCCCACGTGTAAGCATTGTAGTGTTACAATGTTATGTGGACCGCTTGAGATGTGGGCATGCACGTGTGCTTTATTACAAGTGGGGAATGCCCATCATTGTGATAGGTATATATATCCTATTTATAAATATTTTCTTCACTATTATAAGGACTTAAACCATTGAACATTGGGCAATTAAGAAATAACATGCTCATAAAATGAGCTTAGAGATAATAATGTTGAGATGGATGAGCGGTCAGGCAGGAAACGATAAAATTTAGAATGAATACATTTGAAGGAAATTAGGGGTGGCTCCAATAGACGATATGATGTGAGAAAGTCGGCTTAGGTGGCTCGGCCATGGAGAGTATCGACCTATAACAATACCTATTAGGAGTAGCAATTTGGTTCAAGTAGAATGCTCTAAACTGGGCAAGGGAAAGGCCCAAAAGGATGTAGATGAAATTAATTACAAGAGGTGTAATGACTTACGTGGAACATGATTCATGTAGTCGACCCCAAGTAGTTGGAATAAAGCTCAGATGATGATGATGATTATAAAACACCCTATATTTTATTCTTTATCGAAGTAGTAAGGTACGTCCAATCCCTTGATTCCATTAGAACAAGAAGATTTTCATGGAAATGTATTTCGGTCAAATGTTATTGGTTTGACATGTCTTTCAAAATAACGAAAAGAGGAGTGATATGATGTCACAGTTGTATTAAAGTAGAATGAGACGGTGAGGTGGTTTCATCTCACATGTTAGATTATCTAAACTCAAAGGTGAGATATGGCTCAAAGCTCACCTAAAAAAAAGGGACTAAAAAAATGGGAGAAACCAAAATGAAATCTACCTCTGTCCACTTCCACCTGCCAAAGCTCTCTCCCAATGCCCACTTCAATCTACCAAAGCTCTCTCCCAATACAGAGGACTCATCAGGCTCAAACTCATCCTCAAAGGGAATCGTCTCCCACCAAAGAAAGCAAACCTTAAAACCAGGTACATTTCTCTCTCTGCATTAGTTACAACAAAAAATAGGTAATTCTCTCTCTCTCTATATCAGATATAATAAAAAATAGGTAACTCTGTCTCTCTCTTCTTTTGTCTTTACTATACTTGTGGTATCCAACACACAAAGATCATCAAACCATCCACACAAGACTACCATTTTTACAGGCTATTCCTAAGGCACTTATAGCCCCTGTTCTTCCCTGCTTCCAAAACCTGCTCTTATTCCAGTTTCTTCAATGGAAATAACCAAAGTTTGGAATTGGGAAGTTAGTCCAAAGTTTGGTATTTGGTAGGCGAACATTGCTGAAGATTTGCACATTTCTGGACACAGACATTTGTATCGGGTCCTTTTAAATCTCATTCAATGTACCCTTTTAAGGTTTCTTTTATTGCACCTTGGATTTAAGATCTCAAGGCTACCCAAACAATCTCATTCAGCGAACCTTGGGTTTTATTGCACCTTGGGTTTAAGTCCCATGGCTACTCAACAAAATGACAATAATCTGTTCTCAAACACAATGGTACATATGCTCTTTTTAACCTCCTTGAACACCATGGTTCTTATATGC